TTTCTGGTTCATACCACATTTCGCTGCGAACCCGTCCACAAGTTTCATCCAATAAATCAATTGCTTTGTCCGGCAAATAGGTGGTGGTGAGATAGCGTTGGGAAAAATCAACAGCGGCTAGCAAGGAATCATCATAAATTTTCAATTCGTAGTAAATCTCGAAATAATCGCGAATACCTTGTAAAATCTTTAATGTGTCCTCACGACCTGGCTCAGTAACTAATATATTGCTAAAGCGACGCACTAAAGCCCCATCTTTTTCAATATACTGACGATATTCTTCTTGGGTGGTGGCTCCGATACACTGAATTTCACCCCGAGAGAGCAGAGGTTTGAGGAGGTTAGAAATATCCAGAGCGCCCTGACTACGACCAGCACCTACAATTAAATGGATTTCATCAATAAAAAGGATAGCATTATTTTCCGGCTGAGCCATGAAATTAAAAATTATCTTTAATCTTTCTTCTAACTCACCCTGGAATTTAGTTCCGGCCATTAGAGACATCATATCTAATTGATAAACAGTTTTGCCGCGCAAATAATCAGGCACTCTCTCTTGCTTGATTCTTTGAACCAAACCTTCCACCAAGGCCGTTTTTCCTACTCCTGGATAGCCAATCAGTAAGGGGTTATTTTTCATCATGCGCGACAAAATATAAATTAATTGCTTAATTTCCCTCTCCCGGCCAATTATGGCTAATTCATTGACTTTAGTTTCCTTATTAAGATTTTTAGTAAATCTTTCAATGATTGCTTTTTCTTTTTCCTTATTCATATAAGATTTTTTACTTTTTAAATTGCTAACCTCTTATTTTAGCATTAAACGACTTCTCTACTTTTTCAATAATGTTCTGCAACGTTTTTTCTATTTCTTTGTTTTGTAGGGTTTGACTGGCGCTTTGAAAAATCAGATGAAAACTAACTGATTTTTTTTCGTTATTTCTTAATTCAGCATTTTGGTAAACATCAAAAACTTTTATTTCTTGTAAATCACGGCCGGCAATTTTTTTTATTTCTTTAATTACTTCATTATAATTAATTCTGGTTGGGAAAATGAAAGATAAATCTTTGCGGCTGGGGGGGAAATTGGCCACCGGCTGATAAAATATTTGGGGAGGGTAATCACACAAATAATCAAATATTTGGGAGAGGGAAATCTGAGCCACAAATACCTCCTCGCTAATTTGATATTTTTGGGCAATTTGGGGGTGAATACAGCCCAAAAATCCTATTCTTTTGGAACCGAGTAATATTTCTGCACTCTGGGGTGAATATAAGTGTTCAAAAGAGGCAGGAGCAAAAGAAATTTCTGCACCAATTTGCCACAATTCAAAAATGTTTTCCAGCGTTCCTTTTAGCCAGTAAAAATCGATTGTCCGGACTGACTTGTGAAGTGGCTGATTAAAAAATTTTCCTACTCCACTCAAAACCAGCAATTCTTCCTGGTAAAAAGGATCCGCAACCGTGCTAATTTCAAAAAAAAAGAGGTCTCTGTTCTCATGGGCGAGATTATATTTTAGCGTTTTTAAATGACTGGGGATAAGCGTCTGTCGATAATATTCATGATACTCATTTTTCGGTTTCAATAATTGATAAAATTCGTCACTGGCTGGGAAAAGAAAATCGTTTTTCATTGCAGAAGAGACCAACGAATAAGTAATAATTTCTTGTCAGCCGTGATTAGTTAAATAAGCGCGGAGGATTCTTTTTTGTTTTTCGTCTTGTTCCTTTTTACTATTAGAAATAGCAGTTGGAGAGCCAGCAGGCAGTGAACCAATTATTTTATTATAATCATAAATCCGCAATAATTCTTCCAGTAAATCCTCGGGATTGGTGATATCTGACCGCGACAAAGGTATTTGAACCTGATAAATATCTCTTTCTTTCTGATAAGAAAATTTTAGTTGTTGTCAAATTTTCTCAATAGTTTGTTCGCTTAATGTTTGCCCGGTTTTTTGGGTAATAAATCCTTGACTAATATCGATTATTAAAGGTTTTTTTTTGGTTTCCTGATGCGTTTTTTTTT